GTTGTTGTTAAGTGTAATTGAGTTGGTTCTGACCCATAGCGACTCTGTATAGGGTTTCCAAGGCTGTAAATCTTTAAGGGAGCAGAAAGCCTCAAATTTCTCCTGCGGAACCGCTGGTAGTTTCAAACTGCTGACCAACTCATAACCACTGTGCTACCAGAGCTCCTTGAGAGAACCATAAGAGGAGAAATAATATTGCAATATGAATTTTTTTTTTTTTTTAATCTTCTATGTTTGTGCTGGTGTGGTGCTGTAGGATAAGCACTGGGTTGCAAGGTTAGCTTGAATCCTTAGAGTAGTGGTTCAGACTCACCAGGTGCTCCTTGGAAACCCTATACAGGGTCACTGTGAGTCAGAACCAACTCGATAGCACTTCACAACGTTTGTGCTACAAAAACTCTAAAAATGTAAAAGAATGTGGAAAGATTGATCTGTTCTATTATACTGTTCTGTCTTTTGTTACTCCATGTTCTGCTCTTTGACAGATTTTTTTCTGAGGTACTTGCAAATTATTAGTAAAAATAATAGAAATCAATAAATAAGATCAGGTGATTTAATGCCAGCTGCGTGGTGGGCATTTGGTGTCCTAAGATGAATGGCATGATCTTCCTTGTAATAAGCTGATGTGTTATGCTGTAGGGTAAGCACTGGACTGAAAGGTTGGTTTGAACCACAAGGTCAGTGGTTCAAACCTACCAGCCACTCCTCAGAAACTCTATACAGGGTCACTGTGAGTCGGAGCCTACTCCGTGGCAGTTAACAGCGGCAATAAGTTAGTGCAATAGAAGAAAAATGGGTAGGAAAAAGTGAAGATGAAGAAATGAAAACAAGAGTTTCTAAAGAAAATAAGTGTCAAAAAGGAATTTTTCTGAATTCATTTCAGTAGGAAACCTTAACTGTGATTGCAGAAAGACAATATATTTGTTAGGAATGATTTTGTTTATTCTTTGTCATTATCAGTACACCCTTGCTATGCGCTAGGGACTATGTTGAGCATCAGAAGAAAGTCATGCTCTAAAGAGGCTGACATATCCATGGGCAGATGAGAGGTCAACAGGACTGCACAAAGGTGGCCTTAGAGCAAAGGAAGGACATGTAGCTCAAACAGAGAAAGCATGGTGGGCTCTTGGGAAATTTCTCTTCTAGAAGGACCATGAGACTTCAGGAATGGAAGCCAGTAGTTGAAAAGGTAGTTTACATGCATGACCAAAAATAAGGAGTATTTTGTCTATCTCTCTGTATGTCTATTTGTCTGCCTGCCTACCTACCCATCTATTTACCTATGTCTATCTACTTACCGAACTATTTATCTACCAACCGACCTACCTATGTACCTGAGTTCCTGGATGGTGTAAATGTTTAACAACGACTATTAATCAAAAGCTTGGTGGCTCAAGTCCACCACAGGCACCTTCTAAGGAAGGTGTGGTGATCTACTTCCTCAAAATCAGCCACCCGATGGAACACACTTATACTCTGGTATATAGGGTTGCCATAAGTTGGAACTGACTTGATGGCTGCCGATGTCTAGCTATCAATCCATCTCCTTACCTGTCATCTATAAATGTACAAAGATAAATGAGAGAAATGAAAGCTGCAAGTAGGTGTTTTTGTTCTTGTTAGGTGCCATTTAGTTAGTTTCAACTCATAGCAACCCTATACACAACAGAATGAACCAGTCCTGCACCATCCTCACAATTTTTATGTTTCAGCCCCAAGTTTGAGTACAAGAAGTTGTTCTTGTTAGGTGCCATCAAGTTGGCTCCAACTCACAGAGACCATATGCTCAATGGAATGAAACATTGCCTGTCCCTGCACCATCCTTACAATTAGTGTTTCACTTAAGCTCATTGCTTCTGCCTCTGTGTGGATCCATTTCTTTGGGACTCTCCCTCCTTTTTGGTAACCCTCTACTTTACCAAGCATGATATCCTTCTCTAGGGACTGGCGCCTCCTGATAACACGTCCAAAGTATGAGAGATGAAGTCTTGCCATCCTGGCTTGTAAGGAACTTTCTGGCTGTACAGCTTCCAATACAGATTTGTTTGTTCTTTTACTTTTACTATTATTCTCTAATACTCTAATACTCAAATGCATCAATTCTTCTATAGTCTTTATTCATTGTGCAACTGCAAGTAGTCAGAAACCTATTTTAAATACTATGTTGTAGGCCTTGTGCAAATCCCTTTACATACAAAGACATTAAGCACTTCAGAATCAAGCAGAAGTAGTGTTATCCCTAGCACCACTGACCAATTTGATGACCTTGATCAATCCATTTAACTTTACTAGGTCTCAGTTTTTGTCACCTGTACAATGAAGATAGTAATAGTACCAATTTTCTATATGCAATCACTTAGCAAGAAGCTGACAAGTGGCAAGGGCTTTTAGTAAGTGTTAGCTCATTTCCATTACATCCTTTGTAGTATTCACTGCCCTTTTGGAGGGACCCAGGGTTTAGAAATGTGCCCCAGGCTACTGCTCATCAGTGGTGGAGCCTTACTGAGTGTGAGGGTTGAGTGTCAAAGATGAGGCTGGAGGGAAAGGTGAAGCCAGCTACCAAAGAACCTTCATGGATCCTACTCAAGATGTTGAATTTTATCATAAAGTCAATTATGAGCCACTGTGTGACATTAAGGTTGAAAGCAATGAGATCATATTTTAAAATATTTTAAAATATTATTCTAGCCGTAGTATGAAGAATGGTTTTGAGAAAGGGATAAACTGAAAACTCAGTCAAGAATCTATTGCAGTGGCCCAGGAGAGAAGGATAGAGACAGCATTGAGACTGTAGCAATGGGATGAAAGGAACACGTAGGTAAAGAGAGGTATTCTTGGTGATACAGATGGCTAGGCACTTGCCTACTAACTGAAAGGTTGGTAGCTCGAACCCACTCAGAAGCATGTTGGAAGACAGGCCTGGCAATCCCTTGAAAAAACCCTATGAAGCAGTTCTACCCAGCATATATTGGGTCCCTGTGCGTCAGAGTAGACTCCACCACAACAAACAACAACAGGTAAAGAGAGGAAGGGAGGGAGAGGAAGATTAGCTTTATTGACTGGGTAGATGGTAGCACGGTGGACCAAGATGGGGAATCTCAGAGGAGGGATTTTGAGTAAGGTAATCTTGGGGCTATTGTGAGACATCCAGGGACAAATCTCCTCATGGCAGGTAAACATACAGATCTAGAGGTCAAGAGAACAGTTTTATTTTAAGTTTAGAGTTAAAGATGTGGGTTAATGCGCTGGACTACAAAGTCCACTTGAACCTCAAGGTCGGCAGTTCAAGCTCACCATTACCTGCTCAGAAACCCAACTCAGCAGAACTTAACAACAACAACAGAAAGATAATATTGATGATAATTGCAAAGTGGGTGGTAAGTGAAATAAGCTTTCTACAGAAATATCCATTTAAAAAATAAAAAAACACTTTACAGTTAAGCCTCATCTTTCTCCCATGGAGTGACTAGTGAGTTTGAACTGCCAACCTTATAGTTAGCAGTTCATTGTTTATCCTATTGGATCACTAATTTAAATTGAAGGGCCACCAGTCAGCACATCCAGGCCTCTTCCCAGATAATCTACAAGGTTAAACAGCATCGGATAAGGTATTTAGAAAGTTTGAGATTCAAGTGTGGAATTAGCAAAGCAGTCTTGGAATTCAGAACAGGTGGGCAGTAGCCTAGAGGAGACAGCTTTATTCCAGGTTGACTGGAGAAAGGGATGGATGGGTCACATGTTCATTTCATAATCGAGCTTTTCCTCAGATGTGAAACTGCTAGAGATGAAACAAAGGGAGAAAAAAACCAGTACCACACTGTAAATATGGAGAATGCTATTTCCTACAAAATCTGCTGCACAGGAACTTTTTAAAGTATTGAAGAGCAGAGATGTCAGCTTGAGGACTAAGGTGCGCCTGACCCAAGCCATGGTATTTTCAATAACCTCATATGGATGTGAAAGCTGGACAGTGAATAAGGAAGATTGTAGAAGAATTGATGCCTTTGAGTTGTGGTGTTGGAGGAGAATACTAAAAGTGTCATGGACTGCCAAAAGAACCAATAGATCTATTTTGGAAGAAGTGCAGCCAGAGTGCTCCTTGGAGGCCAGGATGGCTAAGCTTTGTCTCTCATACTTTGGACATATTGTCCGGAGTGAACAGTCGCTGGAGAAGGATGTCATGCTGGGTAAGATGGAGGGTCAAAGAAAAAGAGGAAGACCCCAACGAGATGGATCAGCCAGGTGGCATCATTGATGGCGTCAAGTGTGACAGCAGTAGTGAGGTTGGCCAAGGATTGGACATTGTTTTGTTCTGCTGTGCATGGGGTCGCTATGAGTCGGTTCCGACTCGATGGCACTTGACAACAACAACAACATTTCCTAGTTGACTTCTGGTTTTCCCAGAAGAATGAGAGAGCCACTAGAGTCCTTAGGAAGAAATAGTTGTGGTAATATAGGGGAATCATGTCTGAGGAGATGCCATGAGGAAGAGAGACCTCTTGTTTCTGCTGGTGATACATTTTGTGCTTCCTCTTGCTAAAACCCCTGTTGGTTTTAATAGTTCTCCTTGGCAGATGGCTGTTTGCATGATATGGGTTTATGAGAATAAACAGAACATGATTAGACTGGAAACAGCCTAACTAGTGCAGACCCTTGAACCTGCCCCAGGCTGATGAAATGAGGATGTGTGTGGATGGCACGACAGTGGTCATCTCATCAGCTCTCCAGCAGATATTCAAGCACACTGAGGCCACTCCAGTAGGTGGTGTGTGGCCTACCATAGAATTCTCAGACCAGCCTGGTGATCTGAATATCCCTGGGCCTCATTCCATTTCCACTGAATAAAATCTCTGGAATGACGGTTAGGTGGACATGGGGCCAAGGAATCTGTCCCATGGATTCCAGTTTCTAGGCCAGTGGGCTAATGTAATATTGTTTGAAGTGTGATTATATTGGAAATTCCTGAACTTAATTATTTTTCTCTTTGTCATTTCTACTAGGCCCTGGGAAATCATGAATTCGATAATGGTGTAGAAGGACTGATGGATCCACTTCTTAAAACAGCCAAATTTCCGATTTTGAGTGCTAACATTAAGGCAAAAGAGCCTCTAGCATCTCAAATATCTGGGCTCTATTTTCCATACAAAATTCTTAATGTTAGTAATGAACGTGTGGGAATTGTTGGATACACTTCAAGAGAGACCCCTTTTCTCTCAAATCCAGGTATTTTCTCCTTATAAAAAGCACTATAAAGTACTCATTCCTTGAAAATAGATGTTTGATAGAATAGATTCCTTGAGATCAGGGTTTGGCGTTATTTTTATGGACTGTAGATAAGAGTGGGAATACTGTGTGGCACTGGGCAAAGAGGATGCTTAGGATGACATTGATAAAAGCAATCTTGGATTTCCCAATTCTAAGTTGTTTCTTATAGACCTTTGCTCTTCTGTGCAGTAAGCATCTTTTCTGACATAAACTCTGCTTTTCTAATTCATTGTGTCCTACATCCTAAATTGGAAGTGACTGCAATTTACATCTAATGCTGAACAGCACAGGAGAGTGAGAGTCACGAAATTTTCTGCCTTTCTTCCTGTGGAGTCCGAATCCCAGAGCTAGGGTCTTACCTCAGTTACCGTAGCTTTCCATCTCTTCCATTTTCTAGCACAGTCATTACATGCTCTGGTTGTGGTTCCTTTTTGTTTATCACTATTTATCTCTTGTAGTTTTAGTGACTTTGCTGTATCTTAAAATCATTCTAGGAAATATGTATATATTCTTAAGTGGTTTCAAGATGTATATGTTATTTATATATTGTTGTTAAGTCGGTTCTGACTGAAAGTGACCATGTATAGAGTTTCTGAGGAGTGACTGGTAAGTTTGAACAGACTTTGGTAGTTCAAACAGACTTTGAAGCCCAGTGCATTGTCCTACAGTACCACCCCAGGACTCTATTTATATAGAGATTGGTTAAACATTGGCCTTCTAACTGCAAGGTTGGTGGTTCAAACACAACAATTGCTTAGTAAGAGAAATTTGAAGCATAAGAGAAAGATTTACAGTCTCAGAAACCCTATGGAGCAGTTCTACTCTGTTCTACAGGGTCATTGTGAGTTGGAATCAACTCAGTGTTAGTGGGTACACATATATGTGTACACACACTCACACACACACATATATATATACATGTACACATATATACAAGGGTGAGTAAAAAAAGTATTGCCAATAGAGTTCTTATTCGTACATGCACAGGTTTATTCCAAACAAAACATGTTTAAACATGTCTCTGCAATCAGTGGATGGCTGCAGATACATTCTCTTTGTATACACTTGTCTTAGTCTCATTGTTGTTGTTGTTGTTAAGTGCCATCGGGTCGGGTCCGACCCATAGCGACCCTGTACAGGGTTTCCGAGGGTGTAAATCTTTACGGGAGTAGAAAGCCTCATCTTTCTCCCGTGGAGCGGCTGGTAGTTTCAAACCGCTGACCTTAAGGTTCGCAGCCCGATTCGTAACCACTACGCTACCAGAGCTCCTGTCTTAGTCTCATTAGGTTGCCTTCACAAAAAGTTCCATCAAGACAGTGGCTTATGAAAGGATCTGCTGGGCCAGTTAAATTCAAGGCTAAGAAGGTTATGGTGACTATTTTTGTGGGACTCCAAAGGGCTAATCTTAATAAATGTTCTTGAAGGACACAGAATGATCATGGGGACTTACTAAGAAGTTTTAAGAAAATTGAAAACTGGATTGGTGAAATAAAGACCAAGGAATATTCCCCCCCTTAACAACAATGCACCTGCTGATTGTTCAAGGGTGGCAAGGGCTGTCGTAGGAGGGTTTTATTGGGAACCTTCCTCCATCCACCCTACAACCCTCGTCTTTCATCTTCAGACTTCATTCTATTCCCAAAACTCAAAGAAGGTTTGAAAGGAGCATTATCTGAGTCCCTCAGAAAATCAAAACTACCATTTTGATGTGGTGTAAATCGAAGAGCGCAGAATTCTTTGGGGAAGGGGTTAGAGAAATGGGAAATTTCTTACAGGCTAACAGGATGCTTCCTCTTTGGGATTCCTGAGGCTCTCGGCTAAGTATGGAAAAAGGCTGCCTGAGGAGCTAACAAAGCAATTGCTGAAGAGGAGAGGGCTAGCGAGAGCACCACCACCCAGCGGGTTGGATACCTCTGTTCTGGGTCACCAGTGCCCCCAGTTATGGCTCTCCTTGAGCACAGCCACACTGGTGTATCACATTTGTCATTTACTCACCTTCTCATGCCAGCCTGAGCATGAGGTCAGAGCCTAAGTCTCCCCTCAATAAATATCTGGGACCTAATATAGAAGCCAAGGAGCTCTGGTAGCGTAGTGGTTACGAATTGGGCTGTGAACCTTAAGGTCAGCAGTTCGAAATTACCAGCCACTCCTCAGGAGATAGATGAGGCATTCTGCTCCTGTAAAGATTTACAGCCTTGGAAACCCTGTATAGGGTCACTATGGGTCGGAACCTATTCGACGGCACTTAACAACAACAACAATATAGAAACCAAGGAGTTTATGAATCAGGCTGCAAACTGCAATGTTGGCAGTTCAAAACTACTAGCTGTTCCGCGGGAGAAAGATGAGGCTTTCTACTCCCTTAAAGATTTACAGCCTTGGAAACCCTGTGCAAGGTCGCTATGAGTCAGAACCGACTCCACGGCACATAACAACAATATAGAAGCCATCTTACCATCTTTGGATAAAGATGTGGATTTATTGAAAAACTGAATAAATATCATTAGATAACAAATTCAAAGGCAAACTGTGGCTCTAAAATTTCTATTTCATTTGCTGTTTTTTTTTTTTAAGTTCATTTAATACTAAATATGATTAAGGGCTACAAGTGAGTCATAAACAAAGGGATTGGGGAGAGAATTTGAGAAGGGGGCGGGGTTGGAGAAGAGGAGTAATGGTTGACCTATAAGGATCAGGTAGAGTGAGTGAAGACTCTCCTTGTTCCCCTCAAATAGTTCCCAAGTAAGGTATCTGAGGATAAAGCATTCCAGAAGTAAGCCCAGAGTCACATCATAAGCTTCATGAAGGTGGGAACCATGTCTGTCTCATTCACAGCTGTGTGCAGTACCCGTACATTCTAGTGCAATGAATACGTGAGAGCAGAAAAGTGTAGGGTCACACAGGACTAGAAAGTTGGGTTGAGACTTAAGTATAAGGTCTCCTGAATTGCCTAGCTGAGTCAGGCATGATTTGGAGAAAAGCTTCATCCCTTGCTTAGTCATCAACGAGAAGGCAGGATGTAAGAGAGGCTGTTGGTGGAGACAGAGACTCCAGAAGTCAGAGTTTCCTGTCTGGTACTCTGAGAGCACTCTGAATTAATCCATTTTAAAGCAACCTGAGGTTGTGACCGATGGGTGTGGTCTGAAATCTGAAAGGATGATGCTATTTCCAAAAGCTCCTAGGAATCATGGATTGGATTGCCCAATGAATGACTAATGTGGGGATGTGTTGGGATACAATGTTGCTGGGGACACCTACCTCTTCTAAGACTAAGGCTCAGCAGCCTGGCATGGGTCTTCCTACTGAATATAGCCCAATTCCTTCAGTCCTGGTGACCTCAGATCCCATATTATAACTTGTATTTTTAGCACCTTTGGTTTATTTTAACTAGGTAATAAAACTCCTGGAACATAACTCCCTTATGACATCCTGAAATTCATCCCATGGCTTTCCACATTTGTAATACCTGATTCTGGGAGGTTTTTGATGCATTAGAAGAATGCATTGCTTTGTCCTCAGAGGCAGTTCTCTGAACTTTTCTATTCCTTCTTGCTAGCCAAACCAAAGCAGATCTGGAGGTCCCAGCATTCCATTCATTCATTCATTCCTCTTAGTGCCTGAACACTCACATATCAGGTGCTGTTCTTGTTGCTCTTGCTGTGTTGCATCAAGTAAGTTCCGATTCATAGCAACCCAATACAGGGTTTCCAAGGAGCAGCTGGTGAGCTTGAACCGCCGACCTTGTGGTACAAACTGATTTTGCAGTCCAGCGCATTAACCCACAGCGCCACACCAAGGGTCCAGGCACTGTTCTAGACACTAAGAATCCCTGCCCATGGGAACTTCCAATGTGTGAGAACTATAAGTGAAGTTTTAGCGTGTCAGAAAGTAGTAGGTACTGTGGAGAAAAATTAAGCAGGAGGAGGAAATGGCAAGTGTGGCACTGGGGAGGACACATCCATTGATTTCAAAGAGCTAGGGAAAAGTGCACAGAAATGGTTATGTGGTGCTGAGGGAACACGTTACTCTGGATGTTCTCATGGCTGACAGTAGTAGCAAAGGTGTTACAACTCCTGATTTTTAAATGTTGCCTGCAAGTTACTGAAAACACTGCATCCCCAACACAAAACATTGTTGTTGTTGCTGTTAAGTGCTGTTGAGTCGGTTTCAACCCATAGTGACCCTGTATAGGATTTTTGAGGAGTGGCTAGTGAGCTTGAACCACCAACCTTGCAGTTCAAACCAACTTTGCAGTCCAGCACATTAACCCACAGCATCACACACAAAACATGTGAACTAATTTTCAAGCCCCCTTTGTGGGGCCTCCTCGTCTGTGGTGTCAGTCATATTATGTATCTTCCATGATAAATAATGTAAATATGTCGAGTTGACTGACATTTAAGACCCTGAAGTTCCCTTGTTGAAGCACATGTTGATGTTGTTGCTTTTACTGTTAGTTACCATGCAGTTGATTTTGATTTCACGGCAAACCCATATGTGCAGATTGAAGCAGCTCCATAGGGTTTTCAAGGCTGTGAACTTTCAGAAGAAGATCATCAAACTGTTGTCTTAGTTATCTACCGCCGCTATAGCAGAAACACTGCAAGTTGAGGACTCCAACAATGAAAGCTGATTCTCTCACACTTAAGGAAGCTAGAAGTTTGAATTCAAAGCACCAGCTCTGCTTAATGGTCCTCATCTTCTTTCAGCCTCTGTAGGCCTAGCATTCCTTGAAGATCTCCATGTGTTTTGGCATCAATCTATCCTTGGATCTAGGAACCGCAGACTGCAGGGACCCCAGGTCCAAAGCATGCACTCCACTCTCTGGTGTTCTTTCTTGATGGTAGTAGCTCTGAGCTCTGCTTGCCAGTTTATTAATCTCTTTTATATCTCACAAGAGATTGACTCAAAATACAACCTAATCCTGTTGATTGCATCTGTCTTCATTGACATCATAGCAGTGAGGATTTACACCACATAGGATAAGTATAGTAGATCAGGATTGATCACATCAAATCACATCATACGGGGAATCTTCTTGTATTAGATCTCATGATGGGGGATTATACCTCTTGATTGTCAAACCACTGAGGATGCAGGCCCTGCCAAATTGAAGCAAAAGCTTAACTATTACAGAAGTCAAATACTAACAGTTTGTGCTACCCAGGGAGCTTGAAACACACACAGAAGCATCTACACATCAAAGTGTAACAACAGTAACAAGAATGTATTTTTAACAGTCTGAGTGCTCTTTGGAGAGGTGAATGTTTTTCAACCTAGAGTTTGCAGATTCCTGGGTATTTGAAAGTTTTTATGAGGAGTTATTAATTTGCAGGGATGCTTGTTTTACTTCAGGATGGTCTTTAGGCATCAGCATCAGGACGTCTGGATCATCTGGAGGACTCCCTTGTAGCAGAGCATTGCACATGACTGCAACCTGTCATTTTTGTCTGGGTTTGCAGTCACCGCCCTGCCAATAAGAGGCACAGGGCCTCCAGGCCTACTGAGACTGGGCTGCAGAAGCAGCAGGAGAAATTGGTCATCTTGCTGCATGGGGCATTGCAGTCAGGTTTGCTGGTATACCAGTGGTTGACAGTGTGCTACCAGTAAGTCAAGGAGTTAAGCAGACAGGGCAGAAGGTACTCACTTCCAGTTCTAGCAATATGCAGATTACCACCCTTATTTGATGTAGATTTCAATAATGCCCTAATGTTAACATCTGCAAATAAACAAAAGTCCTCTACTGGCCTATTAAAATTGGTATTCAAGGATTCCTTGCTGGTAGAGTTTTGTTAAATTTAAAGACTGATAATCCTGAGCTTGCAAACTAAGTCTTGCAGTAGCTAACCACTGTTAAAGTAGCTAGAAACTGTCCTGTACAGCATGCCATGTGCTCATTTTCTGCACTGGTTTTATGGACGTCCAAATATAAACACAGATTAAGAGTAATTCCAGATCTGAAACTAAATCCTCGTTGTTTGAAATGAAATAGTTCGGGCAAAGTAGCACTATCAACAATATTAAAGTAATACAACGGTAAAGGAATGAAACTGATAATTCATTTAAATTTTATTTGACTTGTAAGGGTTTTATATGTAAGTTGCATATATGTTTTAGTTTAAGCAAGAGTTTCATTAAATGAAGGTATCTATACCTTATTAGAATATTAGAATGTATGTATTAGAATGTATTCAAGCAATATAAACATAAATAATGCTAACTAATGTTCATTTTATTTAACTTTCTTCCTTAGGAAATAATTTAGTATTTGAAGATGAAATCACTGCAATGCAACCAGAAGTAGATAAACTAAAAACTCTAAATGTGACCAAAATTATTGCATTGGGACACTCTGGCTTTGAAATGGATAAACTCATCGCTCAGAAAGTGAGAGGCGTGGATGTGGTGGTAGGAGGACACTCCAACACATTTCTGTATACAGGTAATTGGTTCTTCAGGATTCTGCGGCCCAAGCATCTCTATGTAGCTTACTTTGTCTCTTTTGCATCAGTAACTTTTATTATTTATCTGGCTGTATGTGCAAGTTTTCCTCAAAAAGACATTACTAAGAATATTATATTGATTCCACAATTACGTCAATTCCATTAATCTATATATATTGTAAATGTAACGGAGTCCCTCAGGGGAGCATAAGTGGTTACGTGTTGGTCTACTAACTGAAAGGTTGGCAGTTTGAATCTGCCCAGAGCATCTAGGAAGAAAGGTCTGGCAATCTACTTCCAAAAGATCACAACCATTGAAAACCTTATGGAGTACAGAGATACATATATAGATAGATATTACATATAAAACCTATTTTCATAAAAAGCAAAAAATTATTGAGGCCCAATATATAAAAGTCAGCTTATAACAGTCTATTTTTTTAAAAAACAAACATGTCTTAAGCTTTTCAAAGTATGAGCAAAGTAATGTAAATAGTCCACTACAGCTCACGATGACAGAATTTGATTTGTAGATTGCACAGATAGCATATTTCAAGGCATAAATTCTTTACATTTTTTTTTAAATCATTGTCCAGTTTTCCCACGCATATGTTGTTGTTGTTAGGTGCCATCGAGCCATGTGAGCACAGTGGCCTTAGAGGATACGCACTGAGCTTTTCCTCTAGGGCAGTGGTTCGAGGCCACCAGCCACGCTTCTGAAGAAAGATGAGGCTTTCTGCTCCAGCAAAGATTTACAGACTCGGAAACCGTATACAGGTCGTTATGAGTAGGGACTGACTCAAAGGCACATGACAACAAAAACAACTGATAGCAGAAGAATCCAGAGAACTCTGGGTTCAAGTACTGACTACTGTGTACAAGGACTGTAAGTATCCTAGAAGCTACTTAGCTCCTGGAAATAGGAGCTCTGGTAGCATAGTGGTTACGAGGTGGGCTGCTAACCTCAAGGTCAGCAGTTCGAAACTACCAGCCATTCCGTGGGAGAAAGGTGAGGCTTTCTGCTCCCGAAAAAATGTACAGCCTCGGAAACCCTCGACGCCACACCACACCACCACCACCACCATCTGTGCACTGGTACCATGATGTGAGAGTATACCCCACGTCCACATTCTCTCCCTCCTTCTCACTGTGTCTCCTCCCTTCTCTCTCCCTTCCCTCATTCCTCCCTTGCTCTGTTGAAATATTTCACAAAGTGGAGCTAACTTTACTTAAGGAATACTGATGTGTGATTCCATTACAAATAATTTGTCTTTTTGTAGACACAGCCTAAAGGATAATTTCAAATTGGTGAATTGTGAAATTAATTTAGTAGGTTATGACTAGTAAGGTTTTTTTCCTCTTTTTGTAGTAGATATGATGCTGTAGGATAAGCACTGGACTTCTAACCTTACGGTCAGTAGTTCAAATACACCAGCCATTCCTTAGAAACCCTATAGAGGGTCACTATGAGTCGGTACCTACTCAACACAACAACAAGTACAGTCTAAAATAGAATAGGAACTTACATCAGTCACGTCAGGTGTCATTGAATGGATGCTGACTTGTGCAGTTGGTACGGACTTATAGGAACTAAATAGAACAAAACGCTGCCAAGTCTTGGGCCATCTTCACCATAGTTTCTATGTGTGAGCCCATTGTTGCAGCCACTATGTCAATCCATTTGACTGAGGAACTTCCTCTTTGTCACGGACCCTAATTTACCAAGTATGATGTCCTTCTCCAGGGCCCGAGTCTTCCTGATAACATATCCAAACTGCATGAGACAAAGCCTCATGCTCCTTTCTTATAAGGAGCATTCTGACTGTACTTCTTCTAAAACAAATTTGTGTGTTCATCTGGCAGTCCTTATTATATTCAGTATTCTTCACAAACATCATAATTCAAGGTATCAGGTCTTTTATCATTTTTATTCATTGTCCAGCTTTCTTATGCACATGTTGTTAGATACCGCCAAGTAGGTACCTCAGCTACAGAATGACGGTAGTAACAACAGTACATACTACCAAGCCTTCTTGTAGCTTCATATATATGCCTATAATGGTTAGAGGTAAGGGGCCTCAGAACAATGCGTCATACTTTAGCTGTTTTATTTCAGTTTTGTCTCAGCTTTGTGGCTTCCCATTGCCATAGAGTTAATTCTGACTCATAGCAACCATGGAGGGCCAAGTAGAACTGCCCCATGGGGTGTCCATGACTGTAAATCTTCACAGATACAGACCACCCCATCTTTCTCCTGTTGGGTGGCTGCTGGTTTCAACCTGCAGGCCTTCCAGGTAGCAGCCAAGCTCTTAACTACTGAGATAAAACTAGTCCCTAGAGGCTTTTAGTAGCTTTTTTCTGAGGCAGTATCCGACCTCTCAGAACATGTTGGAAGCAAGGTATCTATTTCCCACCCATCTTTGAAATTTGTCATTGTTGTTAAATGCCATCAAGTAAGTTCCAACTCAGAGTGACCTTGTATAGAGTTTCTCAGAAGTGGCTGGTGGGTTTGAACCACCGACCTTGTGGTTAGCAGTCCAGTGCTTATCCTATAGTACCACACCAGGATCCCCATCCTTGAGAATAGCGATTTCAAACCTTTTTTTTTTTATTACTGTTATTCATAGTATGAAAGACATCACATGCCAGGACCCATACCCACACACATGTGCTTACCCACACACAAGCATGTACAGCTGAAAGAAAACTTTTACAAAGTACCTGCAATGATAGATAAGGCAGACCAGATGAACCTGACATTTCTTCATGTTGCTGCTGGTGGCAGTCTAATGGAGGATGCAGCTCTTCTTCATTTAAGCAACTGAAGGAAGGCCAACGCTTTGTTATTGTTGGCAATATTGTTCATCTTGTTATTAATTAATTTCCCCTTGTAGTTTAGATTATCTTCTAAAGCAAGAAAAAGTCTTTACAGGACAGGCAACTATTCTCCAAAGAAGCACTGTTTTCTGTGAGCACTAGAGAAAGATTGCTAGATGTCTGTGGTTTATTCCGTTGTTGTTGATAAGTGCCGTTGCGTTGGTTCCAAGCCATAGCGACTCTGTATAGGGTTTCCAAGGAGCGACAGGTAAGCTTGAACCACCAACCTTGTGATTCAAACCAACTTTGCAGTCCAGGTATTAGCCCACAGAGCCACACCAGATGTAGTAAGTAATCTGATTGAATCAGTCAAGGGGCATAGGTGTGGCTGATAGCTTCAAAGATACAGCCCTTCATCTTAGGTGTGGCTAACACAGGGACTACATGTCCTATGGTCACACACTCTGCGTCCTTCCCATCAATTTCTAGTCATGCCCAGACCTACCACCAGCCTCTTATAAGTTTAGGCAGCAAAACCAAGACTTTCTGGGTAGTGAGTTTTTCAGCCACATAACGCTGATCAGTGTAAGCTCCATCTCAAGATACTGCCTTCAAGGATGAATTGGTGGTGGTGTTGTTAGGGGCCATCAAGTTGGCCCTGATTTATAGCGACATTATGCATGACAGAAAGAAACATTGCCCATCCAGAATCTAAGAAAAATGACTTTAAATCTCAGTCCACACTGGATTATACATGCAAGAATTACTGAATTCTCAAATGCTATGTTTTATATACATCACAATTTTAATAACAAAAACACAACCCAACTCATTTGTCAAGAAAAGCTGGTGGCCAATTATTGATCATTATAAGCCCAACAAATCACAAAGTACAGATCTTAATGTTGGGAATGAAGTCTTTGTTTTCTTTATTTTGCTAATTGATAGTCTTGTGCAGAAGAGTCATTTCTGCAAAGGCTTCTGACTGTGAAGCCTTTGCAAAGGGTTGTGGAAAGGACTTTGGACTTTGCCAGAGCTAGGTTCCTCCCTGTCAGACCTTGGGTAAGTTATTTTACTTCTCTGAGCTTCAACTTTCTTATCTGAAAAAAATTATTGCAATGATACACCTACCCCATAAAATTGTTGTGAGGAGTAATTGACATCATATGTGAATAGAATTGGACCCTAAACCGTAGTGGGTCCAAGATAAATATTCAGTTCTTTAATATGTCGCAACATGGGAAAATGCATATGGTATAAAATTAGATGAAAAAAGGGTGGACACAGAAATTTGCCTTTATAACTTTATAAAAACATATCATCCAAACTGTAATCACCTGAGAGTCACAAATCCTCAAGCCAACCCTTTAATAAGTATAAAAGATGTTTATTACATAAAACTTGGGAAACATTGTTGCCTCTTCTCACTGTTTGCCCCCCAAATTGATACTTCCCTGGGGTCCTTTATTGTTCTGGTCACCTTGCTCCTACTTTTTGCTTCTGTTGAACTCTCAGTCTGCTATTGTATTCTCTCAAACCATTCCAGATATGATGTTGTTGTTTTTAAGTGCTGTGCAGTGAGTTCCGATTCATAGCAATCATATATAGACTTCACAAGGAACTGTAATCCCTGGCCTTGTTCTGCACCACACCAGAACTCCATTCCATATATTTTACACTTGAATATGGAAAAGTGACCTCTTTCTTGATCACAAGTTTCACCCACACAAGGTAGTTTTCTTTGAAGTTTGCCTGTTTGCACGGGGCGGTCAGCCACAGCACAACCCTACTTGTGAGCTAGAATGAAACACTGTCTTTACAGACCTTGGCCTCTCCCACCACAGGAATTCCTCACAGGTTGACTGTCTTCTTCAACCCCATGCCTTCTCCCAGTCTCCTCCCTTCTCCCACTTAGGTTTTCTATATTTTTATCTCCACCCTTTTTCTCTGAAACACAACACTATTTTTATTGAAGGAAATGAAGCACTGTGGTCTTTGTCGGGGAGTGGGTCTTCCCCAGTAGTTGTGAGATGGAGAGTAGGACAGGAGGTACAGAAGATAAGACAGAACCTCTCATTTCCCTGTCAGACACTTGTCCTTTCACAGGTGTTTTGCTAAAAAAAAAAGCTCTGTAAACATTTACAAACTTCACCACTAAAATAAACTTGAACTTTGTTAGTTA